GCCCAAGTTACATGACTAAAATTCCAACCTTTTGGCTTGCAGTTCATTACGCTTTTCTCTGGCTTTTCTGTGCTACCCCTACTTCCTATCCTAGTTTAATTTCCAGAGTCAGCATTTTTCCTTTCAGGAGGTAACCCCTCCCTCACACATATACTGAGATTCCCAAAGCAAACTGGCAATTTTTTTTCAAGTGCCCTATTTATTCCTATTTAGTAATACTCAGAAATTTCTGATTAGATGAAGAACATTAACCTCAGTGGCTGCTGCAACTGTTAATTAAACAACCATATACAAAATATGCCTTTTGGGCAAATGCACATGCTTTTCAAACTGTCAGTAGCAACTGGTACTGCAAAGTGGGAAATGACCAGACTAAGTCTGTCCACGGAGGATACAGTTCGTGACCCCCAATGGATGCCTGAAACTGTGGGTAGTAAGAAACCACATATGCTGTGTTTTCCTACACATACATACCAGTGAAAAAAACAGAATTTGTAAATTAGGCATAATTAAGAAATTAACAATAAAAAAGGGCAATTATAAATAATATGCTATAATAAAGATTACATGAATGTGATCTCTCTTTAGATATTTCACTACATATAATAATTTATATGCAACTGATGATGGAAATTGAAACTGCAGATAAGGAGGGATTATTAGAATTTTAAAATCCAGTAAAACACAGCAGCATATACCCCAATGAGGTTATACACTATTACTTTATCTTTTGTCTTTCTATCTTTGTTTATGCTGACCCACTAGAGATATTTTAAATTATATTTACTTGTATTTAATAATTTAAATGTATTTTATAAAACTTAAAGAGAACGATAAACATTTTTTTAGCAGAGTAATTTTTATGCCCAAATTGAACACTTACAGCACCATAAAATTAATCTGGCTTTTAGGGATCTTCTTTACCTTAGAATAGTCCCCTCACCTAAACAATTCCAAAAATCAGTAAACTATGTTCACCTGCTTTATCACTCACCTCCTCATCAGACTCAAACTGTACATTCACACCGTATGTCTCATCAATATTGTCATCTGTAATGATGAGGAAACAGAAAAAAGACAGTGACTGATTAGTGAAACAAGGCACTATGGAGCTCATTTCCCTCCCACTGTCTGAGTTGTCTCTCCTCAGGATAGATCTATATTCTAAGAACTCACAAAGACACTTGTACGATCCATAGAAAAGAACTACAATCCAGCCTTCTCCAACCCGCAGTTCTGGATGTGGCCTAGCTCTCATTGCTCAACCACCTCAACTCCCACTCCCAATTCTGCCCAAGTTTTCTCACATGTATTAGACAACAAAAGTGTCTCAGTGAGAAATGGCTGCTGGAATCTAGGGTTTCTGAATCCATAAACATAACTCTTCAATAAACACCAAGTAGTGTAGAAACCAACACTTCAGACATTTTAACACTGATGCTAGAAAATCACGTTTAGGAGTCAATGTGATCGGAAGAATTCATTTACCCATATTCTGGATTTCCTTGTCTCCACCATAGTCTGTGATCTTTTTGCCCAAGTTCACTAACACATGGTATCTAGTATCATCTGTCTGACCCAGCAGTAGGTCAATCTCCTTTCGCCTTTCCTTGTCCCGAAGCTTTTCATTCTTTAGCACAGCTAGAACTTCATCAGCTGCCCCACAAAGGATATCACGTGGCTGGTGGCAAAACAAAAGCAGAAAAACCACATTTAGAACAATAACACACAGAACATCACTGACCAGCTTTATATGACAACAGGATGTTAAAGGGAATCATACCAGATTCTGTTTTCATCAACATTAATAAAAAAAGGCCACCAGCAGCTACAGGAATGAAGATTCATTAAAGATTAGGCAGTTGGTCTCAGGAAGCTCCTAGGAAGACATGGCTTTCACACAGTGTGCCGTGTCTCCCAGAGAAAGAACACTCAGCAGTCCTCCTCAAGCCTGAAAACTTATGGTAATTCTTTGTTCTCACCTCCTCTAGTACCCACTTCACTAAAAAGTCTCAGAGACTCATAAATATCACACACATATACTGGTCAAGAGCACAAATTCTGGCTATAGACTATCATGTTAATATCTAGCTCTTGCAAATACTTCTATGACCTGGGAAAACAACTATTCCGTGCCTAACACCTCTCTTCTGTAAAGTGAAAAGAAGTATTAATAGCACCTACTCACATAATTAGTTCTTGTGAGGCTTGAAAGAGACATGTAAAGTGCTATTCCACATAAAGTAAGTGTTCAATAAGCTGTAGCCACATCTGCAAAATGGTAGAGCCTATACAGAAAATTCAGGGCCAAGGGTTCTCTGATGCCTCCCAGTTGTGACCCCACCCTCTCCAAAAACATAGTCTTACCCTCTGGCCACCTTACCTGGTCCCCAAGTGCAGCCTGGATGAAGCTGAGCAGCACCTCATAGGTCTCCCGGGTCTCTTTAGTTTTTGGCTTATAGATGATGCCCACCATCTCATCAATGCCCTCTGACAGGAGAGTATAACCCTTCATCTTGTTGATATCATGCCGGTCCTCATCACGCTTTCTTCGCCTAATGGACAGAGTGTGATACTGAACAGCAGAGCCTTCCCTCCCAAAGGCAACCCCACCTCATCTCCTTCTCAGCTTCAAGGCACACATGTTAATATGTAAATACACGGATATATACCTCAACAAACATTTCCTACTTGGCATCCTCATTTGTAGTAGTCTTTATGAAATTACAGTAACTGAAAGGTAATCCCCTACCATCCTCTCACTAGATGCATTAAAACATTATGAGAGGCCCTCCCTGGTGACGCAACGGGTTAAAGCACTGCACTAAGAAGCTTAAGCCACTTCCACATGAGTTTGATCCTGCCTGCCCCGGAGGAGGTCCACATGGCGAGGCAGACCTCTCCTGACCCACCCGCTGCTCCCCTCAGCAGTGTACTTCGTCGATCTGCCTGTTCTGCTCCCCACTCTGTTCTGGGTGAATCCTTTCACCCTCCGCATCTCTGGCCTGTACCCCAGTTCAAAGCTCCAAAAGAATTTATTGTCATTGATTTCCCAAAAATGTAACAAAACTAGAAAAGATGTCATGCCCTACAATGTAGAATCCAATAATATACTAAATGACTTCAAATATAACTACTTTAATCAAATCTGGGCCTACAAATAATTGAGACTTCATCATGGAAGGAAGAACAGCAATGGATCAGAGTTAAAAGATAATGGTGAGATAAAGTTCAATGATTTTTTTAAAAAAGTTTATTTATGTATGTATGCAGAACCGGGGTACAGGCCAGAGGTGCAGGGGCGGTGAGAGGATTCATCAGAGACACAGTGGGGAGCAAAACAAGTGGATTGATAAAAAACACTGTTGACAAAAGCGGCAGAAAGGACAAAAGAGATCTGTCACACCATGTGGGTCATCCCCCTGGACAGGGATCAAAGTCACGCTGCAGCAGCTGCTGACAGCTCCACAACACTGCACCAGGGAGAGCATGATTTTTTTTTTTTAAGTTTTCAAATATATCTCCCCAAACATAAAAAACCATCCAGCCAAAAAAAAAATCTTTCTTTCATACTATGGATGCTTGGGTATAACAACAAAATGAATATGAAGTGGGCAACAGCATAAAAAGAAGTAAAAATGGAAAGTCAGTAACAGAAGGATGAAAACTAAAGTTAGATCCAAGGGCATAGCAAGAGTCTGAAAAATGAAAAAATTAAGATCTCACTACCAGATCTACCAGAAATACATGCTAGAGAAAGGTGTAAACATGGTTTTCTACTTTGATACACTTGTTAATACTAAAGAACCTTTTAACTCTCATTGCTTTTACCATACTAAATTTTCTTATGCTACTGATGTCTCATCTTGCACTATGCATTTCAGCTAAAATGCTGAAGAGGAGGATAAAATTTGAATCTGAAGATACATCATTATCCCTTTATACTTACTTGGCTCTTCTTTCCTCCTGCAACTGTGGTTTGGTCCGTTGAGCTTTATCTCCCATTCGGGTACCCTCCAGTTTCCCAACCAGGGATAACACCTCTCCTGTGGGCTCATCTCGGCGGGTCCGGTCAATGAGAGAGCGGTCAGCTTGGAGGACAAGATTCGAGTTCTGGAAAGATTATAAAATTATGGAAACTCTGGCATAAACAGGGCAAAGTCCTCTAACACTGGAACCAACTAATGGCAATAATAATAACAATAATAGTTTGTCCAAGTAAAAAGAGTTATCTTAAAAAGAAATAGCATTGGGCTATTTGGACACATGAGCAAAGAAAGGGCAGAATTAAATCCTATATCCAATTAAAACAGCTAAGCAATCCCAGCTCCTAACACTGCCCAAAATAAGCACACCTGGGAGAAGTTGGGGGGGTGGAGAAGGATGGTTGGAGGGTGACAGATACAGATTAACTGGGAATTAGGTCATAGGCTTCTTGATGTTGACTTTTCTCTCGTTATGCTTCCCGGGGATCCCATGTCTCCCGGGGTTCCAGTCCTTATCCCTCCTGTTATGTCTCCGGGTGCTCCGATGCCTATTTTGTCAAAGCCTAATCCCTCACGGGTATAGTGCTGAGGGGACAGGGAACAAACCCTCCTATGAGAGCTCTTTGCCTATCCAGCTTGCCCCAGGCCCCACGGAGCTGGTCACAGATCGTGTGCCCCACCTTCTCGATTTTCCGTTTCCTTTCGCCATTCTATAGGCCTTCAGACTTGGGACTCCCCTCAGCCTCCTGCCCACCCCGTAGCTCCCCCGACCCGAGTTCTCCCCAGCCCACACGCACCGCCTTGTACTCGTACTGCAGGCTACGAGCGGTCACATCCGCCATGGCTGCGGCTGCACCGAGCCCTTAGGAATGCTCCCCGGGACCGCACGCTGCGAACCGCCGTTAAGTAGTCCACAGCGGAGCGGGAACGACGCAGGACGGACGCGCAGGAAGCAGAAAGTAATGCACCCCCTTCCGCTTCCGGGTCGCGCGCCGGAAGTAGGGCGAAGCTGCGTCCGGAGAGTGCGTACTATTTCGCTGCGGCCTGGTCTTCGGGGACTGGTTGGGCGCGTGCCTAGCGCATCCCGGGTCCCAGGATCCCGCGTGCTTCGGCTTTCACTTAGGTTTTACGCCCTTTCCTTTGGCCCCTCTCGGCCCCGGCCTTGGGACCGCAGATTCTGCACGTCGTAACGAACGGACGCTTGCTTACCCGCCGTCCCTAGCGCTCGCTGCCGCCGGTAAGTCCTGAAATCTAACCGTGTCTGTGTGTGTGTGTGTGTGTGTGTGTGTGTGTGTGTGTGTCTGTCTGTCTGTCTCCGTCCAAGAGAGACCGTTTAACCATGGGTTTGTATGAGAAACGCAGAGACAACGGCCCGGAAGCAGAGGGAATTGTCAATGAAGGCATGTATGGGAACACAGAGTGACAGTGACCGCCGGGTGTCCCCTACCCTACCCCCCACCCAATCCCAACCCCCACCCCCAGGAAAGGGACAGCGTTTACCTCAGAGATGAAATTATTCTGTTGGGGGAGACTTCATGGGTCTTGTTGAAAAGTGTGAGGTTGGGGAGTCTCATGAACCTTGTTAATTCAAGGGGAAAACTGAAGTACAGGAGGAAAGAGGAGTAGGAATTAGAGGCTCTTTGTAGGAAAGGAAAAAGAAGGAGATCTAGGAAGCCCCGGAAGATGACACTTAGCCAAAGCTGAAGAGAAGCATAAGCAAAGAAAAAAATCCCTTCACAGAGAGTAGCTAATACTTTTAGGGAGTGATGTTTAAACTGTTTGTTTTTTTTTTTTAATTGCTGTCCATATAAACTTTTCAGGGTTCTTCATTCTTTTAGTCAAATCATTTACACACTTGTATTTGTGATACTCAAGAAGATGCAGGAATGGAGATGGTGTCCAAGGAAAGTTGGGATGGAATGAGCTAGGTAGGTTGTAGAAGATAAGACCCAGAACTAAAAAAGAATTTGAACACAAGGCGTTTGTACAAGAGGTAATGGGGAAATATGTCCCTGAGAAGTCTCACATTCCTGGCAGTAGGGAAATGTGCTTGTCTTCATAACATGTAGTGTGAGGCTTGAGCCAGTTTATTTTAAGATTAAAAGAAATAGGACTTACCTGGTGCCTTAGAGGTTAATAAAGTTTCAGCACTTTCACCTCTGCAACCTGAGTTCAATCCCCCGCCAGGGAGCTAATTCACATGGTGGTGCAGCAGACCTCTCCTGTCCTGCCTGCTGCTCCCCTTAACAGTGTATTTCAGTAGATCTGTCTCTTCTGTTCCCCATTCTGTCTCTTGTGAATTCTCTCACCCCCTGTTCTATGCTTGCTAGATAGATAGATAGATAGATAGATAGATAGATAGATAGATAGATAGATAGATAGATAGATAATCAATCAGTGGAATACAATTAAGAATTCAGAAATAAACTTTTTTTTAAGAACTGGGGTACAGGTCAGAGGTGCATGGTGTGAGAGGATTAACCAGAGACAAAGTGGGGAGCAGAACAAGCAGATTGACTGAAATACACTGCTACGGGGAACAGCGGGCTGCTGTGCCATGTGGATCACCTCTCTGGCCAGGAGTTGAACTCATGCTGCAGTGCTGCAGATAGCTTTTCATAGTGCTTTGTTTCTGTTGCTTAAGAAATAAACTTATATTTATGGGAACTTGATTTTTCCTCTCCTAGTTTTTTCTCCTTTTCCTAACTACTCACCCTCTTCCCAGATCCCCAGCTTATGGTTCAGACCTGACCAGCTCCAAGTTACACTGGAAGAAAGACATTTACTGCTGGCTCGGCATGCCTGTGCTCTAAGACAGGGAGGGAGGGTCTTACCAAACTCGCAGAAGCCACTGAGTCACAGAGCCCCAGCAGCAGGTAGACACCTCTTATAGAAGACCAAATACCAAGAGGAAGGGACCATGAGAGTGAATTAGAGTTGGATAAGCAAGGGCTTGGGAAAGATGCATGTCTCAGATGCATGTATGCTGTCCATGTAAGACACCTGGGAAATAACCAGTAGAAGAGTTCACTTCCATCATACAAGTAGCACTTAAAAATAGAGCCAACACCAAGGATGTGGAGAAAAAGGAACTCTCCTGCATTGCTGGTGGGAATGCAAACTAGTACAACCACTATGGAAAACTGTTTGGAGGTTCCTCAAACTGCTAAACATGGAGCTTCCCTACGACCCAGCAATCCCACTCCTAGGTATCTACCCAAAAGACACAAAAACACTGATTGAAAAAGATACTTGTACCCCCATGTTTATTGCTGCTTTATTTACAATTGGAAAAACATGGAAGCAGCCCAAATGCCCAAAAGTAGATGACTGTATTAGAAAGATGTGGTACATATATACAATGGAATATTACTCAGCAACCAAAAAAGAGAAACACATGTCTTTTGCAGCAACTTGGATGGAACTGGAAAAGATCATGCTTAGTGAGATAAGCCAGAGAGAGAAAGAAAAATACCGGATGGTTTCACTCATAGCAGGAGTATAATGGACCAGGCGAGAAAATAACAAAAATAATGAACAACCATAGACCAGAGACATTCTGTGGGGGTGGAGTGGGGAATGGGATCAAAAACGGGGGGGGGGGAGGGAGGGAAAGGCACGGGACTATGGTGGTGGCACAGGGGTGATTTGGTGATGGGAAACCCGTGGGGATTACAATGGAGATGAAAAAAAAAATGTGCAAAATGATGTAAAAATAAACTTAAAAAAAAAAAATAGAGCCAACACATGCCTGGTGCCTCTTGTGTTTGGAATGTTTGATTTGTTAGACCCTCGGAGAGCTGTCCTATGAATCAAGTAGTATTTTCAGTCCTGGAGAATCCAGATGAAGAAATGAAATACAGAAAAGTTAAGGAATTGCTCTAGATCACCTACTACTAAGTGGAAGTACTTAGATTTGAGCCAGGGCTGGGCACTCTTAGCTGCTATGTCATTCTGCCTGAAAGTAGATGTTGGAAGTAGATCTGGAACCATGCAGTGGACAAAAATGTCTCTGCCTATGCCTAACAATCCTTCACTGCTTCTCAAAGGTTTACTGAATGAACACCATGTGCTGCATGAGTAGCCTACATATTCGGACCAGCCGCTAGGATGCTGTAGCTTTCCAGGCAAAAGACAAATATCTGGGGTATGAAATGCAATGATAGAGGTGTAGTGGGCCATGAGAGCCCACAGAAGTGCACCTGAATACTACCAGGGAGATAAGGCAGCTCTCAGGAGTACCTGGGACAAGGATGAAGGGAGCCTGAGCTGGGTTTTCAAGCCATGTTGGGCTGGTTGGGTAGAGCACATGGGGATTGGCCAGAATCAGCCAAATATAACCTTAGAAAACAGAACCCCTGGCCTGGGCCTGGCAGCCCTAGCTGTAGAAAAAGCTCTAGTATTCTAATAAGTACTTGTAGGGCTATTGTGGCAATTGTGGGAAGTAATATTTATCTTTTCTTTGACTTCTTTCTGTTATAACACCATATTAATGGATATTGTGAGCAAAGCAATTTTGTAAAGTACTGGAGGCATTAAATGCACCATAGTGACCCCTCTGGTGGCACAGGGGTTAGACACTGTGCTATCAAGCTATCACCAGCCACTGTGAGGTGACCCAGATGGTGCAGCAGACCTCTCCTTTCTCATCTACTGCTCCCTCAGCAGTGTGTTTCAGTCAGTTCACCTGTTTTAGTCTTCATTCTGTCTCTGGTGAGTCCTCTCACTCCCATCCCTACACTGCAGCTCTTGTGTGCATAACTAAATGAAATAAATCTTTTTTTAAAAAAAAAATCAAATTGTAATTAAAAAACTTCATAGACTGTCTAATTACATTTTGGATCTTTTAGTGTAAATAAGCGCTCCCTATTTTTGTGTATTTATAAACAAAAAAAAAATGAATCCCTGAGAATTTCTAGTGTTGTGGGAGAAAAAACACAGCAGCTGCAGTTAAAATGCTGATTGTAGTCAGAGTACAAGAGGAAGATCAGAGAAACCACTAGTGATTAGATGAGTGAAGCTTTACCTTGTGATGTAAAGACTGGCTAGGATTTCAGTACAGGTAGAGTGTGAGGGATCTCAGAGAGATACCCAAAAAAATAAAAGAGGAAAAGTCTGAAAGTAGGAAGACAGGAGCAAATCTTAGGAAATGTTAGGAGCTCAGCCCAGCTGAATGTGGAGTGAATGTTAGGAATAAGACAAGATAATATAAATAATTAGAGATAGATATTTAATAAAGAGCTCTTTATTAAAAATAATTGTGAAGAGTTTTTACTTTACTCAGAAACCTACTAGGTTTCTCCTGTTGGGATTTCTTTCTTGCAGCTTAATAGCAGGTATTTGATTCGAGGGACCAACATTTAGGCTAAGCAAAAACTTTTATATATGACAGGCATTCTCAGAGTGCCACTTCATATGTTATCTCCGTGAAATAAAATGGTTGTCTGTATTTTGCCAATGAAGAAGTTGAGACCCAAAGAAGATGATTTACTTGCTTGGTCTCACCTACTTCAAAACCAGGCCATCTTACTCTAGTCCCTCAGAACAGGGGCTTTCTCATAGCTCTGGTCTTCAGGCTGAGCCTCACAGTATTGGGTAAGATGGATGATGGGGGTCTATGGAGGACTGGACATGGGGAGCACAGCTGCGAGGCTATTGCCGGAGGTGGAGCATAAGGCGAGGTGTGCCTGTGGAGGTACCATGGGCAGGAGTATAGAGCATTGACATGCCTGTTTGGAACAAAGGGATTTGGTGATTATCTTTGGTTAGTCCCAGAAATCCTCAGTTTGCCTGAGCTCATGTACTAGGAAAGAAGAGCTCTGGGTCATCCAAAAGACCCTTGGGACCTGCATATTGAATGGTGAAATGCCTCTGACCTAGGCTAGAATATGTACATAGAGCCAGAGTTAGAATGAGGCTAAATCAAATGACTCCGGTAAACATAATTTCCTACATGGAGAAAGGAGTCAATAAGTGGTAGTTCTCTGTGTACCTGAAACATCAGTTCACCCAGTAAGACATACCTTTGAACTACTTCATTCATTCATTCACTTCTTCATGTAGCAAAATGTCATATGGCAGTCACTATGCTGTTGGTTCCAAGAGTGAACCAATAAACAACATACATGTGCTATGCAGCTATATTAAAGAGTTGACTATTGTGACAAAATTGATTTTCTAATTTATTATCTGGTATCTATTTCTAAGTAGGCTTTGTTCCCTTCTAGGTTTTCACCTTAGGAGACAATGCTTTTGTTTTCCCCAAGAGGCAGTTCGATACAGTGATTAAAAGCTACGGGCTACAGGTCAGCTGAACTGTGGCAGCATCGTAGACTATGTATGGACCCTACCTGATGACTGACTTTGCAGGAACTGAGAACTTTTTGCTATATGCTTGTTTTACGATGAAATCATGGCACGATGACATACAAATGTAGGCTCCTTGCAAGGCAGTCATGTCAGCATAACTCACACTGGTTCTGCGGTAGATCCATTCCTAGCCAGGCTGCTATTAGCTTGCAGAGTTTCAAGGATTAGCTTCTGTCACATGTGGAGGACAGAGTCTCATGACAGGCCATCTTCTGTTTGTCCTCACAACTTCTCTATTAGGGCCCCTCCCCGTTGCCTGCCTTTGTTCTCTCCAATTTCTGTTGCATTGGAATTTTTAAAACAAAAATAGCCTCACCTTTTCTTTCCCATCAGGTTGTGTGCACGTGACTCTTCTCACTATGTCATCTCACAAGACTTTCAGGATCAAGCGGTTCCTGGCGAAGAAACAAAAGCAGAACCGTCCCATTCCCCAGTGGATTCGAATGAAAACTGGGAACAAAATCAGATACAATTCCAAGAGGAGACACTGGAGAAGAACCAAGCTGGGCCTGTAGAGAGAGCTGCATGTGAGGCGACACATGTTCGTGCTACATCAAGATCGCTAGCATCACCACATCGTGCTGAAAACATCACTGTTTGGACATGTTTGGAAAGTTATTTTTCCCGATGTTTGTATGTTTCTGCACCTAGTAAATTGACTCAGCAATAAATATGTGAGGTCTTTGTTGGCAAAAAACATCATACTGTACTGCATCATGCTCTCTGCTTCCTCTTTGAACTGTTCTTTCATCTTGGCAGCACCAAATCACTGCCTAGTCGTCTTCCCCTACCCCAAGTGGCTACTTGGTATGGAATCCAGTTCCCATACACACAAAGACAAAACATACTTAGTGTAAATGAACTTTCATAGGTTAGTGTGCATAAGCGAGAAGAAAGTTACCCATATCCTTGTGGGTAAATGTCCAGCCAAACAGGGTTAGCCCAGAGTATAGGCCAAAAGCTGCCACAAGTTCATGAAAGGGAAGCAAGGAGCCACTCCAGTCTGGGGTGAAGGAACAAAATCAAATTACAAATCAGATAACAGCTGCCATAGTCAGTTTCCCCATTTGTCCCCCATATCCTGCAAGTCCAAGTCTGATAAACAACATACCTTTCTCTCAAGAATAGCTTCACCAGACCACTCAGCTCCACCCATAGGGGAGTTAGGTGGGACCAGGTATATGGTCCCTACCCCTTTATGGAGATTTCTTTGTTATGTATCGTTTTTCCTTTATGCCTCTGGCCCTAGACAGTGTTCTTTTTAGTAATTACATATTCATCCTTTGTATATTTTCAGGAATGTGTTATATTCAGAACTACCTTAACTTCATTGCCCATCTAGAATAATAGCATTAACAACTGTGTGTTGAAGTTCACTATGTACCAGGCATTCACCTCAGAGGTGTCAAGAGAGGCTGTCTGCCATGGGCCCTCAAACCTATGTGTTCTTGTTAGGGTTACCACAAATGCAAAGCCCTGGTTACTCTACAAGGGCTCTCAGCATTAGTTGGTACAAGCAGCTTCGGGGATTAAAGGGGAAAAGGATGTCCTAGAAGAATTTTGGTTTTGTTTTTTTCTAAAGAATTATTCATTCATGCATACAAGAGTAAGTATAGGCCAGAGGTGTGAGTGGTGGGACACCAGAGACAGAGTGGGGAGCAGAAGCGGCAGATTGACTAAAATATACTGGTGAGGGGAGCAGCTGGCGGGACAGGAGATGTCTGCTGTACCATGTGGTTCAGCTCCCTGGCTGGTATCAAATTGGTGCTGCAGTAGCTGGAGATAGTTTCATAGTGCTGCACTTTAACCCCTTGCCAGTAGGAATGCCCCTGAGAGAGGTAGTTTCAATGAGATCAGTATACCTTGTCTGCCAAACAAACTGTCCCATGTATATCAGTTGCTTGCACACCTCCATCTGGAACTTGGGAGAACAAGGAGAATCACATGAATAGGATGTTCATGCTGCAGCCATGAAGTTCATTATTTCTTTTAGTTCCAGGAGTCTTGAAAAGGATTTAAAGTTATCTTCAGAATGGGGCAACAAGCCACAGCCAAAAGGCAATATGAGCGTGACCACTAAGTCAATGGCCCTTGTAACTGTTTCTTGTAAGTGGACAGATAAATGGTGTCAATAACAGACCTCTCCTGTCTCGCCCACTACTTCCCTCAGCAGTGTATTTCAGTGTATTTCACTCTTCTGCTCCTCACTCTGGTGAATCCTCTCACTCCCATACCTCTGGCCCACACTTCAGTTCTTGTATGCAAAACAAATAAAAATCTTAAAAAAGAAAATAATAAATCACAGACACCATTTTCCTCTAAATACTTTAGCGTGAACATTGTTAACTTTAATTATTGTTCTTTTGTAATAAAATTTATATACAATGAAATAAGTTTTGATGAAGGCATACCTGTGTAAACTCAAACCCCTACCAAAGAATGTCATCAGTTCCCAGAAAAGTTTCCTCATGCCTTTCTTAATCAGTCTATCTTCAGGAACAGTCAGGGCTCTGATTTTTTACCTATAGGTTAGATAGCATTTCACTTTGAAAACATTTTTGTGTAACATGCATACTGTTTTATCATTTACCAGCACTGTCCTGGGTGCTTTATAAATATTAACTCACTATCTTTATCTCTACCGTTTGAGGAAGCAGTGATTTCTCCATTTTATAGGTGGAGAAACCAAGATATAGTGTCTAAAAAGCCTTCCCAAATCCTCACAACTGAAGTGTGGAGCTGGGGCCCCACGACCTACAGTGTCATTGGCCTCTGGCATCTTCCAGACCTAGGTAATCTCCAGAATGCTGGTATCAGTTACTTTGGATAGATGATTGTAGGTGATTTATCTTCTTCCATTTATTTACCTATAGTTTCTAAGATTTCTTCAGTGAGCACATACTACATCTCTTACATATCTAAAACTTCAACAGTTATTTTAAAATGTTCCTGTCATGCCCAACTCCTAAGTTGCTCCACTCTCTGGTGTCTGATCTGCATTCACACTCTCAGCCAACTCCTTGAATATTGCCAGTGTCATAGTGTGTTCCCCAGGCTCACCTCCAGGTGATCAATCACTTCAACCAATGAATATGCAGGAACAGTGTTAAAAAGAGCTTCATCTGGTAGTTGGAGTATATAGACATGGATGGATGAGGCAGGAAGTGACTCAGTCAGCTTGGGTTTCAGAATGTTGACTCTTCTTAAGCATAGAATTTCTATAAAGTGTGAGATGTTTCTTTAAGATGTACTCTGGTTTGAAATTTTTGGTAATCACATGCTTTAAGGTGTTAAGAAAGAAAATTCATTTTTCTTTTTCAAAATTTTGTTGTGAAGTAATTCCAAACATATATAACCTTTATTCACATTAACAAGTATATTAATGTAAATTTATTTTTACAATTCTCTATATTTCTCTCTAAGGTATTCTTCTGAAATATCTCCAAGTCATACCATTTTCCTTTACTCCTTAGCGTTTTACAATTTTTTTTCTTTTTTAAGATTTATTTATTTGTGCATACAGAACTGGGGTATAGGTCAGAGGTGCAGGGGCAGTGAGAGGATTCACCAGAGACAGAGAGGGGAGCAGAACAGGCCAACTGTCAAAGTACACTGCTGAGGGAAGCAGCAGGGGGATCAGGAGAGGTCTGCCACACCATGTGGGTCACCTCCAGGTCAGGCGGGATCGAACTCATGCGGAAGTGGCTTTAGCTTCTTGGTGCTGTGCTTTAACCCGCTGCGCCACCAGGGAGGGCCCTACAATGACTTTTTAAGAATAAAAACTTTTTTATCTAACAGTAATACCATACTACTTCATATTTCAGCATTGACAGTTTTCTTTATCTTTTATAGCATTGTTTCAGTTTCCACAATCCAATGCAGAATTATTTAGATCTGAAGTTATTCCTCCTCTTTTCCCCTTTTTAGGTCTTTCTTGACATTATCATATTGCAAAATAACAATGGTTATTTTGTAACATTTTTATTTTATTTTACATTTCTCTACAATATGGGTTATATAGGCTAATGTTTTGGGCAAGAATATTATATGAGCAGTGTGGTGTTTTCCTTAGTGCCTCATATCAGGAAGCACCTGATAGTGATGTTATTTTGATCTCCTGATTAAAATGTTGTCTGTGAAATCTCTCTGCTGTGAAGTGATAGTTCTTCCTTTTGTAACTAATAATTTTTGGAGCTATTGAATGAATTTCTGACCATGTACTTGCGTGATAAAAATGCTACACTTTATTTTCCTCGTAAAGGAGCCATACATTATAAACCTTAACCATGTGGCAGTCATAAGATTTCTTCAGTAAGTCCCAGGGCTTCCACCTTCCTGGGGCTTATAGGTAGAAAAATTGGGGAATCAATATGAAAGCTTTGTCCACAACCACATGTTCCTTTGATGCTACTGAACACAAATTCACTGGATAATTTGTTTTCAATATAGTCCATTTCTGTTCCTGAAAGTATTAGTTCTGCTTTTTTTTTTTTTTTAAGATTTATTATGTATACAGAATTGCAGTACAGGCCAGAGGTACAGGGGCGATGAGAGGATTCACCAGAGTCAGAGTGGGAAGCGGAACAGGCAGATGGATGAAGTACACTGCTGAGGGGAGCAGCGGGCAGGCGGGTCAGGAGAGGTCTACCACTGCCATGCCATGTGGATCACCTCGGGGGCCGACGATCGAACTCACACTGAAGCGGCTGCCGCTTGCTTGCAGTGCTGCAACCTAGCTGGTTGTGCTACCAGGGAGTGCCCCCAGTTCTGCTTTCTTTTTTAGGAACACTCTGACTCCATCTTTATCCATCAGAACCTCCTTTTGTCTTGGTATATTCCAGAGTATCAGAAAGCCCATTACAACCCCTGGTAGGAGACTATTTTTCACACCAGTGTGATCAGGCTTACCTGTATGATGTTGCTTTATCTTATCATATCTTACCAGATACCTTTTTCTTCTGCTGGAGGTGTCAGAGTGAGGCCCTGGGATGGATGGCAGCAGACCTCTCCTGTCTCCCATACTGCTCCCCTCAGCAGTGTACTTCAGTCCATCTGCCTGTTCTTCTCCCCACTCTGTCTCTGGTGAATCCTCTCACCCGGTATCTCTGGACTCCACCCCAGAACTTATATACATAAATAAATAAATCTTTTTTTAAGAAAATTATTTTTTGCATCACATTCCTGGACTGGCTGAAAACAAGGCAGTATCTTCAACTTTCCTTTGTGTTCAGTACATCAGGAATACTCAAGTCTGTCCACATGGGCCTTCTTTGCACACCAAGTGTGCAAAATGCTTGACGTCAAAGCAAGGTAAGTTTTTGAGATAACAATAAATGTATTCAATGAAAATCTTGCTGTAGTGAAAGAATACTTTTTTAAAATTTGTGGTTGGGATAAATGATTTGTCGAGTATTTGTTGTATCACAGTTCTTTTGTTTGGTTACCCTGATCGCTTGTCTCTAGCCACAAATCCAAATATTTTATTTAAGATCTGAATGTTTATTTGCTTATCTGATTCTTGGCCATAAACACAATCTCTGCATCCTCTTGGTCAGGGTTCTGTGTGGAGCCTAGACTTGCTTCCTATAAACCATCCCCAACTTCCTAACAGTTTATACAAACAAGGAAGGTACAATCTTATACCACCCAAACACTTTTTTTTTTTTAATGGCTGGAACACCATTCATTCAAAATTAGCT